TCGACTTCTTTGTTAAACAGGAGAGACGACGTTAATTTTTACCCTCAAACAATATCAGTCTGGTGTTTCATCTTGCGGCCACGATTGGAACTACAGATGTAAACAACTCCTTGGTGGGCAAAGTATCGAGTTGCAAGGTTTTTAATAAAATATATACCCTGTACTGTATACAGATCTCTGTTCAAAGTTCTCTGTAGGGTGGACACATTAATGAACTAGGTAGCGTAGCATCACCTGTTATTTTGGAGTAAGTTGACACTATTTATAAAATTAATAAACAAAATACAGATAGTTTGCACCTGCCCCAAGAGGGTCTACTTACGGCTCTTGAGTGGGGGTAAGACATGTTGAAGGGCCTTACGCCGTATTATAGACGCAGGCAAGGAGCGGGGAGTTACTTATGATGATAGAGTGAAAGACTTATGGCAAATAATAAAACAAAACATGCGGCCCCAGGATGAGACTGCAGTATAGGTGGGATGAATGGAAAGTTTTCAAGGTCGCTCATTGAAGCGAGGACGAGGAAGCAGTGATACTAAAGATGAGAGATTTATCGTGAGGATGGAAAAGGGACAGCAAACCATGTTATATTATGAAGCTAGGATGAGAATAGGAATGGTTTATTGTGTTACATCTGGAACCAGGATGAGACAGACATGTTAACAAAGCCATATACTGTATAGGATGAAAAAATATAATATGCTTACAAAGACAAATCTGGGGTTATGATGAGTGTAGGGGGAGGTTCACATAATACAATGGTTACAACGTGTGTGACGGATGAGGACTGAGGCCACAATGATGACGCAAGTGACTAGGATTGAGACGGGGGGGGGGGAGCAGTGCCAGAGTTAGTGCCAAGACCTAGATTCTGAAAGATTGGTGAATTTATAAACGAGAGGCTCCGTCTGATTACAGTATATAGCATTTACAGGTTTACTGTACAGTCTCATCCCACTTTCGAAGCCTCTTGAGCGATTAAATATATGTGGCAGCCTCAGGGAACTAGTTAGGCGCTCTCTCTCTCATCTTCAAGTAGACACCCAAAGGGACTTTATTGAAGTATGCAGATGCATGTTGCACATACTTGTGTATCACAATATATACACACCTATGAAGTTACGCACAAATTAAATTATACACATAGAACGCAATATTCATATTAACGTACAAATAACGTTTTAAAACCCACTCACGTTAACCAAGATTCACACACTACCTATTCTCACCCGCCCATAACCCACATCCAGCTACAACAACTGTTGCATCACCATACCCTCGAGTTTGAGGTCGTAAGGTGAGGAAACCATGGGAGTGACAGACTAGAGAGGTACGCACAGCTGTGAGTGATCAGGTGTGTGAGTGACAGGGAAAGGATACACCCCATCGTAATATTTCTACCACTGGGACTATGACGTCATCGATGTTCCCCGCCAGGTGTTAGTGTCTCACTTATTGTACAGTCGGGGTCAAAAGTTCGCTCCAGCCCAAAATGAAGCAGCATCGACCCCAAATGAGATGAAACAGTCAGGGTAAGTCAGTTCGGACTCATTCCCGTGTCTCAGTCTCACCACGAGGAACGAACTTTTGTCCCCGACTGTAACTAACAGCGAGGTGTACGAACTATTGGCCTGTAACTATGTACTGTAGGTTTAATATCCGGAATGTATTTTGTTTAAAGCCCATTATATTAAGTTTCCCTGGGCCTTACACCAGTAACCAAATGAACAAGTATCACTGAAACACTCAATACTCAAGTTTCATGTAATACCAAGAACAAATTATGAGTGCACTGACAAGTTAAATTGCGCGAGTACACACAGAGCGAGTCGTGACAAATTAAATAATACTGCTATTTTTGGTAACCACAACAATTCATTAAAAATGGTAATGTATGATCTTTAATTACTGACACATATCTTCAACTGACAAGGTGAAACAAGACCTCGTTAGGACCTGTTGACGGGGAAGTTGTCTGATGAGCTACACACCTTCCCTCATCTACATGTATACAGGTCCTGTCCTTATTAGTAATGGAAGCTCTTATACCCTTGTGGTTATATTGGTCGTTAATGAAGGTGAAGTTCACCCACTAGCAAAGTTTGGGGTATGTCTTTCCTACTTCGTATACAAAATGTATTTCACCTTCCTAGGGGACAGAGACCATGGAAACACGGGGCACGAAGGCTGTATTTTTTTATCATCGTGGCGTAGGATGAGGTGCTGGGCCTATGTGAGGGGCTGTTACAGACGGGTGAGAGGACTTGTTAGGAATTTATAGCACTGTTGCAAGCGTGGGTAGGCGTGCACCTGCGTGTGATAGGGGCCATTGAGACGCCGCCCTGCTGTTGTGTGGAGGAACCAGTCTCACTACCACGACGAAACATTTACCTTAATTAGAACAGGAAAACGCTGCTAACTCATAACTCTCAGAAGTTAGAAAAAATTAAATAAATATAACTTTCCATAGAATAAACTACTTCACGTCACACAAGAGAGGATAAAACATCCTGATGTGATGAAAGTGAAGTGCATCAACCCGACGAGAGTTCAGGCAAATTTATTTAACTCGACGTACGATCACTCCACCGCAGGTCGACCAATTAAAGAAAAGTAAGTGAATAAAAACTTCAACCCAAGTCGACAAAACATGAACTAATTTGCCTCAGCTGGACCACTAACGGTGCCCGAGTCTTCCACACGCAAAAACTATGGTGACGGCATCTTTTGGTCGATGACCTTGATCTTTAAGACGAGGTCTTTATTTTGATGGTCCCTAGCCGTTACCAACACCTCTTCCCTCCCTGACCAGATATCCCTCCTCCTAGAGACAGGCCTGTCACTTGACATTATTAGGGGCCTGTCACGCTTTGTCAAAAACAGATGAATTGTGCCGGGAACTTTCCCCCACACACTTATTATCCTGTCACTTTATATAACTTGCTGACAAAACCCATGGCCATTCAGGCATTTACGTTCTTAATGCACGAGTCATTAAGGCAAGCACGCATGAACTCCGCATACTTCCCTGTTGGGCGCTTGTAAACGTTTCTGAGCTTCGCCTTCCACAGGATGCAAGGGGGTGCCCAATAAACTATCCCCCTCGCGGGGCAAATTGTAAAAAAAAAAAAATGCTCTTTGTACATTGTTGACACATAGTTACGTTTTTTTTTTTCGTCTGTCGGGAGTATACGAAAATTAGGTTCGGGATCGTTTTATAAAAGTTCTATATGGGGCTGAGATGAGCAAAGGACAGGTGTACTGTACTAGGTTTACGGACCTCGGACCTCCAAGCACACAGACGAACAATTATTCCTTAAATTGGACGCACACACGACACATACACACACACATATATACACATACACATTCATTCTCTCTCTCTCTGGCCACGTTTTCCTGATGTGAATGCAACAGTTCCCCTCTTCGTTTGTGAAACTCAGCTGTGTGGGCGTGGCAGCTGACAATTATCCACTGCCCTCTGATACTGACAAAGTGTTTTGGGGACGTTCGAGGTTGACGAATGGCAGCTGGCTGTGTCCAGGCTGGGGGAGAGGTAGGTGTAGGGGCAGTGGACAAGGCGTGGCGCGGAGCAGAGAAGGGAAGGCTGAGTAGGGTGGTCTGGTAGGGGGGTGAAAGAATGTAGTTGATGTGGATTGGGGGTGTTACCCTGTAAGACCGTGAGTTAGCGAGTAGCGACGCCACGTATGTCAACAAGTTGCTACGGCACCATATGAAGTCCCTCACGACACCACCTGTGAACACGTTACTGTACCACGTGAGGTCCCTCACGACGCTGTCTGTGAACACGTTACTGTACCACGTGAGGTCCCTCACGACGCCGTCTGTGAACACGTTACTGTACCACGCGAGGTCCCTCACGACGCTGTCTGTGAACACGTTACTGTACCACGCGAGGTCCCTCACGACGCCGTCTGTGAACACGTTACTGTACCACGCGAGGTCCCTCACGACGCCGTCTGTGAACACGTTACTGTACCACGTGAGGTCCCTCACGACGCCGTCTGTGAACACGTTACTGTACCACGTGAGGTCCCTCACGACGCTGTCTGTGAACACGTTACTGTACCACGTGAGGTCCCTCACGACGCCGTCTGTGAACACGTTACTGTACCACGTGAGGTCCCTCACGACGCTGTCTGTGAACACGTTACTGTACCACGCGAGGTCCCTCACGACGCTGTCTGTGAACACGTTACTGTACCACGTGAGGTCCCTCACGACGCTGTCTGTGAACACGTTACTGTACCACGCGAGGTCCCTTCACGACGCTGCCCGTGAACACGTTACCGTACCACGTCGTGAGGTCCTCACGACGCTGTCTGTGAACACGTTACTGTACCACGAGGTCCCTCTCACGACGCTGTCTGTGAACACGTTACTGTACCCACGAGGTCCTTCACGACGCTACGCCCAGAACACGTTACTGTACCACGTGAGGTCCCTCACGACGCCGTCTGTGAACACGTTACTGTACCACGCGAGGTCCCTCACGACGCTGTCTGTGAACACGTTACTGTACCACGCGAGGTCCCTCACGACGCTGTCTGTGAACACGTTACTGTACCACGTGAGGTCCCTCACGACGCTGTCTGTGAACACGTTACTGTACCACGCGAGGTCCCTCACGACGCTGTCTGTGAACACGTTACTGTACCACGTGTTTGCTGCTCAACACCTCAGCGCACTTGGCCTACGTGACCTCACACAGAAGGGCAACCCTTGCCACCCATTGTAAACAATAATTTGTATGTTTACTGCAGATTTTTTTGTAATGAAAGCTTTTGTTAAACGGTTCACTCCCTCATGTCACAGTATGTAATAAGTCATTTCTGTCCCTTGTATATTTCATCCTTTTGGCTGCTGCATCTCTTTTAATAAACCATTAATTATTATTATACATACACACTAATAGTTTATGGTACACTGACATATTACCGTACGATAATATCTTATGGTATACTGATAGATTAACTTACTCGTATTCTGCTAGATTACGGTACACTGGTGGATTATCGCACTGCACACCAATAACACCTTGACTCGGCAAACGCACAACACATACTGGCTGAGCTGGCTCACCACACGATTTCTCGGGGAGCATGCACACACTCCCAAGTTCGCGAACGTTTTCGGTAGGTTGACGAACGTCCAGTAACAGTGCGTGAAAATTACCATCACATTCATCTGTACATTTAGACATCTACATAACCCGACCACTCCACTCAAATACAATTCCTCATAAGGTATAGTGCTTTTGGTAGTACGACCACTTGTACAGCTGAACTCATAAGTGATTATAACACTTCACGTGGAGGGTACCCATACATTCTTAACACCCTATAGCTCTGCGTGCGGGTTACGTTACGTTACGTTAGGAATGTAGTTTATGTAGAAAAAAACAAATCATCCAGTCAGCAACAGCAGGTGAGGTTATTACAATGTATGACGGGCGGTGATGGTACGTACGGCGGGGGAGACTAGTGTACCCACAATATGACCTTCTCTATACCCTGGAATATTACCCACCAGGTATATCAGCCCTCCACCTACAATATATCACCCACCACCTACAATATATCCACCATCTACATCACCCGCCAGCTACAATATATCATCCACCACCTACAGTACATCACCCGCCAGCTACAATATATCCACCACCCACAATACATCACCCGCGCCATATATCATCCACCACCTACAGTACATCACCCGCCAGCTGCAATATATCATCCACCACCTACAATATATCATCCACCACCCACAATATATCACCCACCACCTACAATATATCACCCACCACCCACAATATATCATCCACCACCTACAGTACATCACCCACCAGCGCAATATATCATCCACCACCCACAATATACTCATCCACCACCCACAATATACCACCCACCACCCACAATACACCACCCACACAATATATCATCCACCACCCACATCACCCGCCAGCCACACACCACCCACACACATCACCCGCCAGCTAAACATATCATCCACCACCACATCACCCCCAGCCACAATATATCATCCACCACCTACATATATCCACCACCTACAACATATCATCCACCACCTACAATATATCATCCACCACCTACAATATATCACCCACCACCTACAATATATCACCCACCACCTACATCACTCCCCAGTTACAATATATCACCCACCACCCACAATATATCATCCACCACCTCAATATATCACCCACCACCTACAATATATCATCACCCACCACCTACACAACATATCACCCACCACCTACATCACCCCGCCAGCTACAATATATCACCCACCACCTACAATATATCATCCACCACCCTCAATATATCACCACCTACAATATATCATCACCCGCCAGCTACAATATATCATCCACCACCCACATCACCCCCCAGCTACAATATATCACCCACCACCTACAATATATCACCCACCACCTACATCACTCCCCCAGTTACATATATCATCCACCACCCACATATATCATCCACCACCTACAATATATCACCCACCACCCACAATATATCACCCGCCACCTACAATATATCACCCACCACCTACAATATATCACCCACCACCTACAATATATCACCCACCACCTACAATATATCACCCACCACCTACCATATATCACCCGCCACCCACAGTATATCATCCACCACCTTCATCACCCGCCAGCTACAATATATCACCCACCACCCACAATATATCACCACCACCTACAATATCACCCACACCTCAATATATCACCCACCACCTACATCACTCCCAGTTACAATATATCACCCACCACCTACATCACTCCCCAGTTACAATATATCACCCACCACCTACAATATATCACCCATCACCTACAATATATCACCCGCCACCTACAATATATCACCCGCCACCTACAATATATCATCCACCACCTTCATCACCCGCCAGCTACAATATATCACCCACCACCTACAGTATATCACCCACCACCTACAATATATCATCCACCACCTACAATATATCACCCACCACCTACATCACTCCCCAGTTACAATATATCATCCACCGCCTACAATATATCATCCACCACCTACAATATATCATCCACCATCTACAGTACATCACCCCACCTACAATATATCATCCACCACCTTCACTCACCCGCCAGCTACATATATCATCCACCACCTACAATATATCATCCACCACCTACAATATATCACCCGCCACCTACAATATATCATCCACCACCTTCATCACCCGCCACCTACAATATATCATCCACCACCTCCAATATATCATCCACCACCTACAATATATCATCCACCACCCACAGTACATCACCCGCCAGCCTACAATATATCATCCACCACCTACAGTACATCACCCGCCAGCTACAATATATCATCCACCACCTACAGTACATCACCCGCCAGCTACAGTATATCATCCACCACCTACAGCATCACCCGCCAGCTACGATATCATCCACCACCTACAGACATCACCCGCCAGTTAACCCAATCCCAACCCAGGTAATAGAAGACAGTTCATAATCTTTTGACATCCCGTGAGAGAGCCCCCCTCCCGCACCTTCCAATCCCAAGCCCCATGACGCCATTAAGATAACGAACGCTTCCTGTAGTCTTATTGTGGCGCCTTAAGGATGACATCTCAATTTTTTACACACACACACACACACACACACACACACACACACACACACACACACACACACACACACACACACACACACACACACACACACCCACACACACACACACACACACACACACACACACACACACACAGCCCTGTAAATGTATTCAACGCATATTATATCATTATGTCTAAATCAAATGTAAGCCTGTATTTTCAGCCACCGGCTGCAACTCTCTTGATAAACCGTTTATATATTAATATTAATATATTATATATTATTATTTATTATTATTATTATTATTATTACACTACAATTATATATTTAGTAATAAACATTTAAAATTTAGTAAGCTTAGTGACAATGATAAAATAAACATCGCTGAAGCAGATCGCGTGTCAGATTACACATCCGGTGAGGTCATTTATTACACTTAACACTTACAGTATGTTGGTTCATCATATTTTAGCATCAGTCCACCCTGGTCTGAGAGTCAGCCAGCCAGAGCCAGCCCAACTGTGCCATGCCATGCTTGTGTGTGCTATGGTAGCAGAGGCAGGTGTAGGTATAGTAGGGTAAGGTTGGGATGAGAGGCAGGGGTATAGGTACACAGATGAGAGTAAGTTGTCAGTACATGGTAGTTAAGGAGGCCCACGTCCTAAAACCATGAATCATGCATGGTTGACGAGGATGATAAGATAACACCTTATAAGATAACTGATCAAACTTACCCAGCACCTCTGCCTCCCCACCCCAACCCACACCCCTGCCTCACCCCACCTTACCCTACACCCCCACCTCCAACCCTTACCCTACACCCCTGCCTCTTCCCAACCCACCTTACACTGCCTCTCACCCCAACCCACCCTACACCCCTGCCTCTCACCCCAACCCCATCCCCACACCTCTGCCCCAACCCTCACCCTGCCTCTCACCCCAACCTACCCCAACCCCTGCCTCCCACCCCAACCTTACCCCTACACCCCTGCCTCTCACCCCAACCTACCCCACACCCTGCCTCTCACCCCAACCTACCCCCACACCTGCCCCCAACCCCAACCCACCCTACACCCCTGCCTCACCCCCAACCCACTCCCACACCTCTGCCTCTCACCCAACCTTACCCTACACCCCTGCCTCCTCCCAACCCCACCTCTACACCCCTGCCTCTCAACCCCAACCTACTCCACACCTGCCTCTCAACCCAATCCCACCCTACACCCCTGCCTCTCACCCCAACCTTACCCTACACCCCTGCCTCTCACCCCAACCTTACCCTACACCCTGCCTCTCACCCCAACCCATACCCTACACCTGCCTCTCACCCCAACCTACCCTACACCCTGCCTCTCACCCCAACCTACCCTACACACCCCTGCCTCTCACCCCAACCTTCACCCCACACCCCTGCCTCTCACCCCAACCTTACCCTACACCCTGCCTCCTCTCACCCCAACCTTACCCTACACCCCTGCCTCTCACCCCAACCTTACCCTACACCCTGCCTCTCACCCCAACCTCACCTACACCCTGCCTCTCACCCCAACCTACCCCTACACCCTGCCTCTAACCCTACTCCCCTGCCTCTCACCCCAGCTTAACTCAGCACCCCTACCTCACCCCAGCCCAATTCATCACCCCTGCCTCTCACCTCAGCCTACCCATCATCACCCCTGCATCTCACCCCAGCCTTACCCAGCACCCTGCCTCACCCCAGCCTAACTCAGCACCCCTACCTCTCACCCCAGCCTAACTCCAGCACCCCTGCCTCACACCAGCCTAATTTAGCACCCCTGCCTCACTCCTGCCTAATCCATCACCCCTGCCTCTCACCCCAACCTTCCCTACTCCCTGCCTCTCACCCCAGCCTAACTCAGCACCCCCTGCCTCTCACACCCAGCCTAATTCAGCACCCCTGCCCTCTCACCCCAGCCTAATTCATCACCCCTGCCTCTCCACCTCAGCCTAATTCATCACCCCTGCCTCACCCCCAGCCTAACTCCAGCACCCCTGCCTCTCACCCCAGCCTAACTCCAGCACCCTGCCTCTCACCTCAGCTAATTCATCACCCCTGCATCTCTCCCCCAGCCTAACTCCAGCACCCTGCCTCTCTCACCTCAGCCTAATTCAGCACCCTTACCTCTCACCCCAGCCTAACTCAGCACCCTGCCTCTCACCCCAGCCTAACTCAGCACCCCTGCCTCTCACCCCAGCCTAACTCCAGCACCCCTGCCTCTCACCCCAGCCCTAACTCAGCACCCTGCCTCGCACCTCAGCCCTAACAGCACCCTGCCTCTCACCCCAGCCTTACCCTGCCTCTCACCCCAGCCTTCCCTGCCTCTCACCCCAGCCTACCCTGCCCCTCACCCCAGCCTTACCTGCCTCTCACTCCAGCTTTTCCC